CGCGCTCGCTGAGGGGGTCGTCGTAGTGGAAAAGAACTTGGGTCGCCAACGACGCGGTGGAGGAATCCTGCAGTGCACGATGGAGTTGTTGGAAATTCATTCCCGAGGAGATCAAATCAGGGGGGAGGGGGAGGGTTAAATTATGACCTTAGGTTGATAACCAATCGAGTGTAACAATTAGCGGGTTGTATATATATATATATATATATGTATATGTATGTATATAGATATACAATAATACCGTTAGGCCGCTTCTAGAACTGAGTATTTTTGGAAAACACTTATTCTAGAAGAGAATGGTTTATATATATATATATATATATATAAAGAAGAGAAAGAATAAACTGAAGTATACTATTTAAATTCCGCAAAATGCATGACCGAAAGGTTTGCTATTTAAACCTTAGCACTATCCTCCAAGAACGGCAACTCGAAGTCACGTAGAAAGTATAGTGGTTTCACTCCATTGATATATTACTATTAAAAAATTTCCAATCAGAGAAATGAATGTTAGAATTTCAAAAATAAATTATCGTTAATAAAATATAGTAAAAGCAAAAAATAAGATGTCTAATCTATTTTACCTCCCCATTAAAAAGAAACACCCACAGGTTTAAACACTAAGTGTTGTATCTAAAGCCTTAGGTTTTGCATTCATGATCTATGCCATTTTAGGATGGTGTGTCTTTTCAATATAATGGATGACCAGTAGTACTTGTGATACATGAAGTACTACCGCAAGAAGTGCTCCAACGGAAGGATAGAATGCAAAAGTGATCCAAACAAACAATACCCCTAACAGAGGGATCGCGTTTGTGCGTGGAAGCTTTGCGCACTTCGCCGCGATTGGGATGTGCACAATGGTGCTGCTCGCACACGCGCAGGTAATAATCCACAGCGCCGGATAGCTGAACGGGCTGAAGGCGTAGCCCGGAACGACAGAGCGTGGGTCTGCCGCGATCTGTGCGGAGTGCCGTGGGATTAAACCGAGAAAAACAACCGAATTTAACACAATTGTGATGGTATGACCCCTAAAGAACATTTGGCGATTCTTAAGTATGAGGCTCAAAAGCGTTGTGAGTTGAGCGATATTGTAGAAAATATACAATATTTCAATCCACTTAAGCCGTGAAACCATCGAAGTACAGGTGTCGAACCCAACGCAAATGACCGACGCATGACTTTTTGAAATCCGTCCATTAATCAGACTTGGAGAAAGTAGCGGCAACCACATGCTCAGACTAAAGAAAACCATCGCCTCGTCGACCGAAAGGATTCGATTCCCCCAAATAAAGATATTATTTTCATAATTTAAAGTGTGAGAAAGCTCTGTAGCGATGGCAACCAAACAGACGGTGGTAGCCATGTTGCTGAGGGAATAACCCAAAACTAAAAAAACGCAGCAGGTGGAGAGCAAGGAGGTCACGCAGTCCAAGCCGTGGTCCAAGTACTCCCCGATCCCGCTGAATTTGCAATCCCGCCGCGCCAGCCGCCCGTCCGTGTTGTCCGCGATGCAGTACAGCAAATTTAAAACCCCACACAAAATCAGCTGCGCGGTTGGGCTCATCCAAGGAAAGTACGGCGTCACCTCCAAAAAGGAAAGCGAGGACGGGCTCGCGCGCTCCCAGTCCGCCGCGGTCAAGGACTGCGGTAGGAAACTGATCCCGGGCGAGCCGAAGCCCGTCTCCATCGGCATCGAGCTCAGCAGCAGCAGCGTGGAGGTGAGCGTCATGAAGATGCCGGACAAGGTCAGCGTGTTCGGCACCCAACATCGCGGGTAATACCGCACAATCGCGTCGTAAAAGGGGAAGAAGACGTACTCGGAAAGAATGCTGGACTCGGGGGTAACACATCGCGTCCCGGGGGGGGCCGCGCGGGAGTGCAGAAACTCAAACATCCAATCGCGTTCGGGGTGGACTTCGGGCGCGAACTTCAAGGTAGCGTGCGCGCGCGGACAGGAGGAAACGGGTGTTTTTCTTTTACCTTTTGCTAGAAAACAATGATAAAAAAAAGTACTAAAATATAAGATGCTTAGTTCAGATTCACATTGGGGGTGATAATGGAAAAAAGAAATACAAAAGATATATATATATATATATATTTGTGATCAGAAGTAAAGAAACGCTGAGGTATAGCGTGTGAAGCTCC